GAGTCCCCACCTCAGTAGTGCTTTATAGCAGCTTTTCTGTCAGGCTTTCGGGTTTTTTAGCGCTAATTACAGCTCTGATTGTGCCACCCCTTTGGTGCTGATGTTTTAAAGTTTTTTTTTTTTTTTTGGTAGCCATGTGAAGGCATCTGTGTCTTCCTGGTGTGAATCACCCCTTCAGCATTCATGTGGCATGTCACTACCCTGGCAACAACAAGAAATGACTAAAAAAAAGTCAAAATCGGTTCCCTCCGAAGCTTTTTTGGAAAAAAGTGAAATTCTTTTTTAATTTTTAGACAGCTTAAGAAAATACCAAGCTCTCACGTTACCTTTGGGTGGCCTCCTGCACTGATGTGCGATAGGTTTGGGCCCCACAGGCCCTTGGGGACACGAGCGGACACGGGACAGGGAATTGCAAGTTCCCACCATTGCATTAACCTGGTGTGGAGATGCAAAAAGCCGCCTTCCAAAGACTTTTCCATTGAAACAGTATGCCAGGAAGATGGAAAGTGCTGGGCAAGACTGCGCAAGGCTGGCGCCCTGTATATATGTGTAAATGCCCCCTCTCTGGTTTGCTTTGCAGTGCCCCAGCAGCGCTTTTGGCCTTTTTGCAGAAAACGCTACATAAAAGTCCTCTTGGAATCACCCAGTTTGGTTTTTTTCTTTCTGCTACTTTGGGACAGAAACTTCCTGCTCAGATAAGCGTTAAGGAAAAAAAGAAAGAAAGAAAGAAAGAAAAAAGCATCTATTGTGATTTTAGCTCTTAGCTCTTTAAATTTCAGGATGCTAAAAGTAGACTTCATGTCTTTCTGATTTAAAAGCAGTGCGGGTTACAGTGTCTCATTGAATCTGTCTCCTCACTCCGGTCAGAAATACTATAGTGGTGGTTTGCAAGGCTTTGGATTCGTGTCAGTTAAAAATTAGTCTCCTATGGCACATTTTGCAGACTTTCTAACTGCTGCGCTGGCGCTAATATTTTATGCAGCATGGGCCCAGAAGAAACTCTGAGAGAAGTCTAAAGAGTTTAGAAGAAAAATAACCTCAAGTACAGTCACTCAGAAGTTACTGACTGTTTGTTCCCACAAATGCTTCTATGCAGACATACTAAATTATTCACTTTCTTCCAAAAAGTCAATGAACCGTTACAAAATTTACTCAATGTTCAGTATTTTTGCCATGATATTCCCAGTGAAATATTACTGTTTATTTCTGTGTTATAAGAGTGGAAGGAAAATATGCTTTTCTTTACAAGACATAGATGAAAATCCCATTTAGGATGGGTTTCATGTTTGCAGCATTGGGAGGTTTGGTTCTGATGAAAATCATGTGTGTATTTAGTTATTTTATGCACAGCAAATCTCAGATGGCTGGGATTATGTTCTCCCAATTTAACAAGGTTATGCATTTAATAAGTGGAAAGGGATGAGTCAGAGCACAACGCTAGATCCCAGCTCTCATGAATCTAACAAGGAAGGCATCTCTGAATCTGACCCTGCCGGTCCGAAATGACAACCCTTATTCAAACGAACATGCAATTAACAATTTTAATTCTCTTAAAATTCTGAATATTAGAAACAAAGTGGAGAAAAGACTCCTAACAGTGTGATGCTGAACACTTCATTTGGGAAGCTGTTAAATTTAGTTATAATTTTTACTGCTGTAACAAAAGAAGATACTGAAAGGGTGTAAATTACTTACAGATACAGGACATTTTTTTTCTTCGTAGTAATGTAAAGGAGCCTGAGGGAAGCCTGGCATTCTCTGGAATAAAATCCTGATTCAGCAATCGTCCTAATTTATGTGCTGACTGCGGGTGTTTTCTGTGCTAAAGCTGTCAGGGTGGATTTGGGTGAATAGGAGGGAGAGACTCGGCTAACGAAACCCTAGTGCTGCCCGTGTTTGCAGTGTGACATGTCTGTGTGCACAGGGAACAGGATGGGCTGCTAAATCCGCACGGACCGTCGCCGTCTCCGGCGTTCCGACCGGCCTGCTGGGCGAAGATGTCATGGCCGACATACTGCAGATCCATTTCCAGATGCCCAAGAACAACGGTGGGGATGTGGAGCAAGTAGTGTATCCCACCACGGAAAAAGGGGTCGCATATATAACTTTTGAAGATCCAGAAGGTATTTAAATTAATAAACCCTAGAAGTCATCACCTGAAGAATTAGCCGTAGAATGTTAACCATAGGATAAACCACTTCAAATTGTGTGCTGATGCTAGGATTTTATATATGTAGAAGACTAACCCCTCTTTTTTAGTCAGACAAATTTTAGCATTTTATTTCCATTCATTAATAGTCATAACTTTGAACAGACTTCGTGCAAAGTGTTTGTTGGTTTTAGGAATAAATTTATACCCCGCAAGACAGACATGAATTTTTTAGTCAGGCCTTTGGGAATAAATCTCTGCCAATTAATATTATAGCAAGACAGGCTTCCCTCTCTCCTCTGAAAAATTTTGACTGATGCATGAAATATTAGGCAAGAGCATTAAATTGCCTGTGTATATGTGTGGAAAATTGTTAGGGAAAACATCAGGAGAAAAACACCCAAGGAGTGCTCCAGCCATTAGCCCAGCTATAGCACATTATCTTACTGCTGAGCAAGTGAATCTGACTTTCTCTGTAGTTGTAGAGAACGTTCTAAAGGCTGAACATCAACTAAAAGACAAGAGGCTGCCCAGCTGCTATCCTCTGAAAGTCACCCGCTGCTGTGAGCTTGTAAGCCCATTCATTATTTATCTATTCCTACATGCAATGCTACATTAACTGCTACTTAACTTCTGTACTTGAATATTGTAGGTCTTCGGCTCTGTCTCATCTCTCCTCAACATGTCTGTGTTCAAAGATCAGTTTGATTTAGAAGATCTGATACGGGAACTTAAAAGGAACATCACAGCTTTGAGCTTTGGTCCCTTGCAGTCCAATGGGCATATTTTGGTTGAAGGGCCTTTTCCAGCAATCCAATTGCTAAAAGACTTTCTCTTATTAAAAGCAAAATCCCTTTCACAGAAGGACAAAAGAAAAGAAAATAAACCCCAGCAGAGACCAAAGAGGAGGCTCCAGCAGCAAAGACTTTCCATGGAGACGAGTAATTCAATTCCTGATGCAGATGGAGGAAAACAGGTGGTGGTTCTTGACACCGATATATACCACTACATGAAACACTTCTTTTTCAAGAAACTACTAGTAAATTATGATGTTGTAATTTCTGACATTATTGATGGTGAAATAACTACAGTATATCTTAGTAATGCCAGAAGTAGGTCTGGCGCTGGACAGGTTTTAAGAGTCAAAGAGGAAATTGAAAATCAGTCTGTAAAACTTCATAACAGTTTACGCAAAGAAAGGATCTGGTTTGAGGGGCATAGGGGAGATGAAAAGCAGAAATATAAACAGGCGTGTGAAACTGTAAAATCCGATTACCCAGCTGTTTTGATTATTCCTTATGATACTCACATTGATATTATAGGAAGTTCTTCTTCGGTTTTTGAATTCACAAGGGAAGTAAGGAGAAAGATTCGGGTCCAAAAGAGTAAGCTGGAAAGGTCGTACTCGTGTGGCCGCCGCAAGTGAAACAAGTCATGTGTGATCCGCAGTGAAGGGCAGCAGGGCAGTATTGCCTGGATCTCTAGAAACCAGGCTTGTTTGCACCAAATAATTGCCTTGGGCAGTTTCTTATTCCATATAAATTTCATCTTCCCCAAATATCAAATTAGATTCGGAACAGGAAGCAAATCATCTTTGTGTCTCTTGTGTCATGATGAGAAAGGAGGAATCTTCAGAGTTTTTAGCATACTTAGACCTACAAAACTGGATAAGCTGATCTGATACTAAATAATACAAAGTTAGGGTATCTTTGTGCAAGGTGATGACCACTCTAGACAGGAACAGTGGCCTTTTTCAGTAGCCTTCTTCATCTGCAGGAGAAAGGCCTTTGAGATGCATGAAGAAGACAGAGCTTTGGCCCTCGAGAAGAGGGAGCACATGGATTTTACAGGTTTCTCACATTCTGAGAGAGACCTTAGGAATTGGCACCAGTTCTTGACACAAGAAAACCAGCGAGGTTGTTTTCATAGGAGTGGTATGGGTTCTTCATTGGCAGCAGAGCAGCACCAGCAGTGTCCCTTGGCAACGTGTTATTTAGACATGGGGTATATCCAAAGTTTGATGTGAAAATCGTGGGGCATTTAGACTTCCAAATCAGGTTTCACTTATACAATTCTTATGCCCAATACAGAGTCCAAGTCATCTTCAGTTTTAGATACCCTGTAGAGGAACATTTTTTTTTAATGCGTGCAGCTGGCCAGTCAATATAATAACTAATAGAGGACAAAAACTCCCTTATGTCTTACTAATACTTTCCAGTTGTGTTTTCGAGACCAATGTTAGAGGTTCCAAGCAGTGGGTTCCTGCTGCCTTCATAAGAGCCTCACAATCTAATGAGGAGTTAGTTAACACTGATTCCTTCTTAGGCTGAATGCCTTGGAGCCCTGATTTTCCTTTTGTGAGGTACTGTGCAATACACAGAGATCATTAGATAGTCTCTATGTATGGATGTGTGTGTGTGTTTATATGTATATATATATATATAGTTTAAAAATAATTCTTACATGTGTTACTTTGACTTAACAGAGCTATCAGCATGGTATCTGTCTTGACTTTCATTTCGTGGGTTAAATGATAACTGTTAAACCTGAATGCCTGTTTTATTAGGTTCCACTATTTCCTCCCTCCCAATTTTGTTTTAAAAACTTTATTTCTAAATTGCTTTTTTTTTTTGTGTGTGTGTGTGTGTGACATAAGAATGTTTAGGATACTTTGTCAAAACCTACAGAACACTTGGGCTTTTTTCTTATATACAGGCAAAGCTTTTATATTTTTAAATCATTAAAGAAACAAGCTATCCAAAATACTGTATGTGTTTTCCCTTTTTTTTTTTCCCTTAAACCCACTGCTGTTTTTTGTTTGCAAGCCCGTTATGCTTTTAGGCATTTTCTTGCAATGGCTAAACATTCATTGCAATTATGCCAGTGGAAGATCAAGTTGTTAAACTACTGCCAATTCTGTGTATTAAAATTTGCTGTCAGAGTGGGTAGATGATGAGCTTAAGGAATTTGCTGAATTGGGAATGTGTGTGGGGGGAGGTCTTTAGAAGTGTAGTTTATTCCAGTAGATCTACCAGGAGCAGCTGAACCCAGGAGCCCAGAATCAGGCCCTGGAAAACATCTCCTGTGACCGTGTGGACAGTTCTCCAAGAGTTTGCTTTTCTGGATACTCCCCCCAGAGCTTAAAGACAGGAAGTTTTTCAATCTTAGTAAAGAGAAAATCCTCTATGAGGGATAATCCTCTAATGAAATTAGTGCTCCTTTCTTGTGTCTAGATTGGTCTTTTTCCAGGCTCCCGACCTTTTTCTGATGGACGGTGTCAGCACTTGCTGTTCACTTCAGTGAATGTTTAAGGCTGGAGCAGTGAGCGGGTGGCACTGCCGTCCTCGTGAGTGGTGACACACAGGTTAGTAGTGACAGTGAGTTACGGTGCTTTTTGAACCGAGCTGGACAACAGAGCTGCACTGGCATCAGTTCCCGCTCCCTGGGTATTGGGTCAAACCTGGAAATCTTGAAAAGATCACGCTTAAATAAAATAATGAATTTAAATAATTACAGGTAAGTGCCAAGCCGAAGTCCTGCTTCACTTACACATGAAATCTCCTTTAAGTAGAGATACTTAAATAATGTCACAACCGTGCTTTGTAACAATTCCTCTTGGCGGCCACTTTTAATGCTCCCCGTTGCCGCAGTGTCCTTGGCTGCTCGATGCTCCAGTTGGGTGTTTATCCTACTGACCAGCATTGTCTCATAGATTCCTGTTGCTCTCCCATCTGCTATCTTTGGTCTCATTTTGTGTGATTTCTTTGGACAAAAAGAGCATTGCTTATTCCTTTGTGTTTACGGAGGGGCTCATAAATTGGGATCTTAGTCCACGTTGCATTAGTCAATATTATCTACTGTTGTGTTGCAGGCTTTCCGGGCGTGCGTTTTCATCTCAGATTTGCAGCAGCATCATAAGGGGAAGCCTCGCACTTGTCGTCTTTGATGATCTGCTGTAGCTGTGCAAGGGCAGGGTAATGAGCCTGTGACTCCAACTGAGCTGCTCTTTGAGGCTTAACCCCACAGAGGAAACTGCTTTCTGCAGCAGAAAGAAAATGTCAGCTGTGATCCACTGGGATAGACTCGTGTTTGCTGTCGGATGCTTAACCACATTTCAGCAGAAAAATAGCATTGCGAGTGCAGCTGCTATTTCTTAACCTGCGTTCAGGATGCAGATACCATGGAAAGCAGTAGATGTTTAGCAAAAAAAGATAGCCCTATTTCAACCTTATTGTGAATACTTAAACGCAACAAAAAGAGTCAGTATTAGGTCTGCTAACACCCACCAGCTCTCATCCTCACTGCTATTTTCTATGGCAAGCAAAGCGCTGTGTTATTTGTAAAGCTCCACTTGGCATAGGCATTTAATACTGGCGTATATTGAAAAATGCCTGGAAAGGTATGTTAGATTCTATTCCTAGATCTAAACCATTGGGGCTGACTCAATGTTCTCAAACCTGCACCGGGTTTGTGCTTTTAATTTGAATAGGAAATTTGCCTATGAGACCTCAACCAAATATTTCTCCTTTTTGCTGTGCTGACATCTGCTGCCCTTCACCAGAAGGGGACACGTAACAGTTTGTGCTGTGAAAAAAGAAGGCCTAATTTTGACTTAAGGCAAAATTCCCATTGATAAAACTTTTTTTTTTTCCTTTTTTCCCCTCAATGTCACAAATTCGAGCAGCGCTCATGGTCTCAGTTCCTGGCAGCACTGGGTTTGTTCAGTGACACAAGACACATGTTCCAGCATGGCAAAGGGAGGCCAAAACCTCCTTTATTCTCCGTCGTACCTGTGCATCTAACCATACAGTGCTTGTTGTTCCTATGCTTATTCCAATGCTTGTTCAGTTCCTATGGGAAGGAGGTCGCTACGTGTGGAAAAGGCCCTTCCTGCAGGTTTGCTGGCATCAACCCCATCGCTGCAGCGCTCTGTGCGTTTGTTAACAAACACGTCCTACGAGGACCTGTCAGGCCTCCCGAAAGCTCCCCGGCCAGGATGCCGTTTCCGTAAGGAAAAAGGGGAATCTTACTATTTTGGGAAACCATCTGTTTTATTTAAAAAAAAAAAAAAACCCTAAGGATTTGGAAACATAAATAGCGCTACTACCAAATAACTCATTCTGCAGGACAACTGCTAGGCTTCTCTCTCCATCTGGCCACGCTGGAGACTTTGAAGGCTAAAACCCGGGCTGGACACCCCCAAACTCATCAGCTGGGAGTTAGCTGGGGACGGTGAGTGATTCAGGACGTGCTGGGGCTGACGCAGCTCTCCCACCAGGAGAGCAGGAGATGAGCTTAGCAGTTTGTGCATCCGGAGGGGCTGACGCCTTCGCTTGGCTCCGCTCCAGGCCTCGGGAAGCTTCCATAAACAAACGCACGCGTTCCCGTTGTGTTGGACATGTTGTGCAAGGGAGAGGCGCAGCTGTGCGGCAGGGCCGAGCTCGCGCCGGGGAGATTCCTGCACGGCAGAGCCTTTCCGTGGTGCCGGCTGCCCTTGGGGAGGCTGCGGGGTGTTTGTGGGGCCTGGGGCTTCTCTCCAAATTATCGCTGGTGCCTCTTCAGCTGCGTGCGGGAAAACGTTTAGGGGAACGGCACGGTTTCCTTGAAAATAACTAATTCCTCCTTATTTGAGGGGACTTCTACCCTTCATTGCTTACTGGTGAGAGGAAGCGACCTTTTCCATCACCTCTTTTAAACTGAGAGATGAATAATGAAGTCAACTGTGTGTGTGTGTGTGCATATATATTTAAACCATTTTCACTTAGCTTTAGGGGGCAAGAGTCTTTCCTGACTTCTGGGACAGGCTGCATGAAGATAACCAGACAGCTTGGCAGGGTCCTTTTTTCTTTTTTTTTGTAATTAAAACTTGATTAAAAGCACAGAAAAATTAAGTCCAAACTGCACAATGATACCATCCAGCCTGGTTGTACTTATTTTTTCCTTAGTTACAAAGAACTGCAGAATGCCTGCCAGAAAACAAGTCCCTTCTTCTGCTTAACACAGCTTTCCTTTGTCTCCTGATAGCCGGTAATGAGCTTTAAAATAAAAGATCTGAAATTAATGCAGTTAAGATGAAATGCTACCTCTAATGGCAGAAACCCACTGCTGTTGGGACATCTCTTCCAAGCCATTTTTTTCCAGGAGGATTCTCCCCTCCCTATTGCTACTACCCGTGTAGCAGCAGCAGGACAGGTCAGGATCAGCTGTTAAGTACATTACCTAAAAAAAAAAGTATAAAATACTGGGGAAAATAAAAGCAAATTTCTGATTTTTTATACAGGTCAGATACCCAGATATCCTGTTTTGTTTTGTTTTGTTTTAGATGACAGGAGGATTTGGTTCAAACCCAAAAGAATTGACGCCCAGAAAGTCGTTTTCTCTGAGATGTGCTGCACAGGAGGATTTGGTTCAAACCCAAAAGTCCCA